AGAATCAAATATCATAAGATTGAAAAGTTTTTAATTAAAAAATACGAATACTAAATTTTACGAAAAAATTTATTTTTCGTCTCTTTTTCTTTAAGCATTCTGAAAGTATATGAAAAGTATCCAACTTTTCGAAACATTTTTTTTGGTATTTCTGACAATCATTTAAATAAAAGTTATCGCCTTCCATTTCATAAAGGCCCACAAACGGCCGAGCGGTAAAGTTGCTGAACACTGGTAGTTCACTCCGGGGTTCGAACCCCGGTAAATGGGCTGGTTGCATGGGCGTTTTCGTGGATTTTCTCATGTGTACCGTGTATGACAGCTGGTTTCCCTTAGAAAGTTCTTCACGGAGTATTTCGTCAGAGCCTTTATCAGTCTTTAGAGGCTAAACATTTTGAAGGTATGAGATGAAAGGAAAGACTGGTTTCATCAAAAGGTTTTGGTTTATTTTATTATGACAAAGCACACTATGGCTATCTGCCTAAGGGGAGGGATGCCTTCGTGGAGGACTTTCTAAGGGAAACTGGCTCGTATACACGTTACACATGGGGAAAACCACGAAAACGACCATGCAGGCCAGCCCGTTTCGCGGGATTCGAACCTCGGACTGAACTACCAAGTGTTCAGCGTCTTTACCGCTCGGCCGTTGGTTTCATTAAGGGAAAACGGTGTGAAACTGTTATGGCAATCGAATGCAGTAGGAGAATGCAACTGGGAACTAGATAGATAACATGAGAGATTTCTTTTGGCCCAAATCGATTTTAAAAGCGTTTTTGAATCAGTATCTTCATGTTTTAGTTTAAGCCGAATTCCAGGGCTTAAAAAATTACAAAATTAGCGATCTGTAAGAAAACGATTTCCAGATTGTAACGCGCTTGTGAGAGTGATTTGCGATCTCACATTTTCTAATCGCTAATTCGTGGTTTTTCACGGACGAAATTCTCACTTACAGGGATGGCGCACTTGACATTTATCGAATTTAACGTCTTTAAATGGTTAATTTGCCCTACTTCAAAGTTTCTTAAGGGTATACAACATATTAAAAACCCATATATAACCAAATATTGTTAAACGAAATATGGGTCGGAATCTAACTTAACCTTTAACAAAAAGGTTTAAGTTAGATTCCGACCCATATTTCGTTTAACAATATTGCATACAGCGCCATTTCCCCCTGGTGGTGAGGTTTCGAACTTCCTTTTTTTCCAGGAAAATAAATTCCCATGACCTCCTTTACATGATTTCCAAGTTTGATAACATTTGATCCAGTAGTTTTCCTTTTATGACCGTTTCAATGTGGAACTTTAATTATAACACTCTGTATATTATTAAATTTTAATTTGAAGCTATGCGTTATATGTATACCATGCGTAAAATTTTCGCTTTTATGGAAAAATAAAAAATCGAAGCAAATGTACTTAGTATAATGGACCAAAACTGAAAAAACATTTCCCCTCCCTCCGAAAATAAAATATTGAAATTTCGAACTTGAATTATTGGGTTATCGAAATATTTAATTTGACTTATCTTCTAAGTCCTAGTTCCGACAACAATTCCGTCAAAAATTCCGAATTACTTAAGCTAAAGTTAAAAGATTTAATATATATTCACTGTATGTTAATAAAGTAATCAAAGTGTAATAAAAATAGATTATAGAATTTACGCTGATGTAACCTTTTGTCTGACTGCACAACATGTAATGGAAGAGAAGGTTTGTAGAGATCTGTTTTTGACATGCCTCTAAAAGTAGATGTCATATTAATTTTTGTCTCTTCAATGTCAAAAAAAAACTTTCCTTTGAGAGGCAACTTTAGTTTTTGGGAAAGAAAAAAAAATCACAAGAAGACAAATTTGAAGAACATGCAGGACGATTGAGTACACATACTTATTTTTCGGAACACAAGCGGTTCTCCGACTGGTTATTGAATAATGAAAAGATGCATTGTCATGCAATACAAAACATTTGGAATACGTTTCTGGCTGAATAACGTAAGCTTCAAAGTCATCTGCTTAATTCACATCCATTTACAAGTCAACTACTCGGGCAATTGCAGAATCGTTTTGATCCTGAGCTTGTAAGACAAACCTAATATCACTGGATTTAAACACTTCTTTAATCTTTCCGAGAACGTTCCTTCTTTAGCTCATATTCCAAGAATATTAAGTGAATACAATTATTGCCAAAGAAATTGAATATTCATTTTCACTACGGCTTGGTAGTTTACTAACGAGTTAACAAAACTTAAATTCTGCTTTTTTTTTGTGTCTAAGAATACAACAATATTTTAAATATTTACAAATAAAATATTAAAATTGGAGCCTCATCAGTTGCCTAGCATTTGGGAAAAAAAAAAAAAAAAAAAAAAGATTGTTAAATACTAATTGTTTGTTGCTCAGTCTAACCCAGGCTGCATGGTTGGTTTTCGTAGTTTTTTAGGTTCTCTTTACAAAGATTCTCTATGAAAGCATCTTAATCAAATAGCTCCCGTGTTCTTTCTATGTTCCAATAACCAACTAACCTAGTTTAAGCGCGATTTCCAAGTGAAGTTACTAGTAAAATCCGAATACTCATTAAAAATCATGTAGCTAGCCAATCGGGAGTAACATGAAAGATACGGCGCCAATAATTGAAATGTTGTTACGGTACGCTGTTTCTTAACTTAACTTAGATGGTCATTCCTTAATTAAATAGCCCACCAACGGCCGAGCGGTAAAGACGCTGAACACTTGTAGTTCAGTCCGAGGTTCGAATCCCGCGAACGGGCTGGCCGCATGGTCGGTTTCGTGGTTTTCCCCATGTGTAACGTGTATACGAGCCAGTTCCCCTTAGAAAGTCCTCCACGAAGGCATCCCTCCTTTAGGCAGATAGCCCTCGTGTGCTTTGCCATAATTAAATAATCCAATCCAATCCTTAATTAAATATAATTGATTTGTAAATTCTACTAGAACTGACGGTAAGAATTGAAGTGGAAATAAGTAATATGGTGTGCAATCTTGATTAATATAAAATTTAAAATATTTGCATAGAAAAATGTTTGCATTCAGACAGAAAGTTTTTTGAAATATTTGCAATTACTTTATAAGAAGGATTTATTAATAACCGTAATAATTACTTATTATATTACTGATGATTAGGATTCAGTTCTTGACAATTACATTCTAAATTAGAATTTTAAGGATATATTGAAAATACGCTACGCACAAAAATACATTTTAGGAAAAAAAAAATGAGTTGATTTTTTTATGTTTTTAAAACTTCTTAAATTCATTTAGTAAACATCGTATCCTCGTTGTTTATTGAATCCAGAATGTTAGTGTCGTTTATATAATTATTCTTACTTGTTCACAGAATCTGCTGACTTATCCAGCCATTAAGTAGCTGCAGATCATTTCTACATAACCATTGAACTTCCTTAATTCATTCTCTAGAGGGTTGTATGTTTATATCATAATTTGACTTTTATAAAAATGATTATTCTAAATATTATGTTTCTATAAAAATATATGTGCTTTAAAAATATGGATGATAGTATCAGCCCGCTCTTTCAGCCACTTCAAAAGCAAAACAGTTTGTTTAGAAATAAATTATGCAGTTTAATGTCATAAAATTCAAATAAATATCAAAACGAAAATTCTCAGTTTTAGACAATTCGATTTAAACGAAGTAAAGTAGCAGACGATAAAACGCCCGAAGGTAAAAAATTTACTCTTACAAAAACTTACTCTTAAATTTTTAAAAAAAGAAAAAAAGATACGAGAGAAATTAAAAAAAAAAAAAATAGTTAAAAATTTTAATAATTTCATCTATAATTAAAAAAATAGCCTTTCATATAGTATTAATAAATATTTATTACGCATCACTGAGGGAAAAAATGTCATATAATTAATTCTTCGTAAAATTTTACTTGAAGTTTAAGGTTAAAAATAGCTGTGGCAATTCAGTGTAACAAAAATCCATAGACCACATTTGGCGTTATTATCGCTCAAAAAAAAGGTGCCAAATTTCAAAACGCGAAATTATGTAAATTCGTGTATATCTTCGAAAATTTTGAATAAAAAAGTCTAATTTTTTGCAGATATGCTTAAAAATAAACCTACTTTAAGATGATGGTAAAAATTTTATAGGTTATAATTCAAAATTTTTTTTCGAAAAATCTATAGAAATTATTTAAAAATAGAAATTTTAAAAATAAAAACGCAAAAAAAATGGGTAAATTTTATTTGGAATGAACCAAAATTTCGAAATGTGAGAGAAAATATCAAAAAAAGTTTAATAAAAAAAAAAGAGATATTAATAAATATTTGCCAAATTCAATTAACATTGAGGAGCTAAAATTTGAGAGCTAATATTTTTAAAAAAATTCGTACGATTTTTACAAAACTTGGTATTCTGGCATAATTTGAGTCGTAGAAGAATCGAATATGTAAAAAAATTGGTATGTTATTTCAGAAAAAGTCCGATTTTGTGTCAAAGTACCTATGTTAGAATAGTGCTATATATAAATCTAATATATATCCTAAGTCGCGCTTTCGAGACATGAAAAACGCAGTTTGAATTTTGTCAATCGGCCGGGGAGATATGCACTGTCCCATTTTTTTTTTTTTTTTTTTTTTTTTTTTTTTTTTTTTTTTTTTGAGCAGTGTACATGATAAATTATTTCTTAATGTTAATTATTATGTGAAAAATTATTTTATAACTGCTTTAAGGGGAAAATGCAGTTTCCCCCCTGAAAGAAATTGGAAGCAAATTTGCTTGTCCTTAATCATAAAAAATAAAATAACATCAAACATAATGTACACAATTTTATTGTATGCATGTGTTTTATTGTGTAATTAATTTTAAATAAAAAGAGCTATTTCTATTTGAAATTTCACATATTGAATTACTGTAATCATTGTTTAATTTTGGATGCAAATTTTATGGCTCGCAGCGTCTTTTAAAAGTGTTAATTGAAAAAAAAAGTAAGGAATAGTTGTAATGGAAATGTTATTGTTTTCAGGTGGAGAAAAATTACTGTTACCAGTCATCTGGCCATGCATTACTCTGGAAAATAGATTCTGACATTGAACAACGGGGAGTTACTACTAGAGAACTAATTGTAGAATATGATTTTATGATTCAGTTCAAGGTAAATTCTTAAGCATATTTTTGTATTGGGTTGCTGGGAGAGCTCCATGAATCGCAGAACCTGTTAAAAAATCTCTTTCCTACAGAATTCTCAATATTCCTTTAAATTATGCATAATTTTCCCTCAAAACAACAAAAAGTATTTTGATTAAAATGCAGAATATGTAGCATTTATAAATGAAGAGAGGAACGAAAGTAAGTGCTAGCATGGATCTGAAGTTAGTTGAGCAAAATTACTTTCAGAACTAAGTTGAAATAGTAACTGTTGACAGAATTTATTGGGTTGTTCGGAAAGTAATTTCGTTTTTTTTTTTTTTGCAGGAACATGAAAGACAATTTTCGTATAATGAATAAATATTTTATTAAATTATATATTGGCCATTCTGGTCCAACACCTTTTGCCATCTTTCTGGCAGTAACATGAACATTCCCCGCTCATAAAAGTTTTGGTCCTTGCTGGCAAAAAACTGATTCAGGTGGTTTTTGACATCTTCATTTGAGGTAAAGGTTTTACCATCCAAAAAATTTTGCAGGGACCGGAACAAATAATAAGCAGAAGGCACCAGATCTGGAGAATATGGTGGGTGTTGCAGTATGTCCCATTCAAGCTGTAAGAGCTTTTGGCGAGTGACCAAACTTGTATGAGGTCTCGCATTATCCTGGTGGAACACTACACCCTTCCTGTTGGTTAATTCTGGCCTCTTCTGTTTAAGTGCATCATTCAATTTGTCCAGCTGATGACAATAGACTTCCGAATTAATAGTTATATTGTCCAATGAAAGCTAAAAAAAACGATTCCTTTGAAATCCCACCAAGTGGACAGCATCACCTTTTTTTGGTGAATGTTGGCTTTTGAAACGCTTTGAGCCGGTTCATCTTTTCTGCTCCATGACCTCTTGCATTTCACATTGTTGTATACGACCCATTTTTCGTCTCCAGTAATAATCCGCTTCAAAAATGGATCATTTTCCTGACGTTTGAGGAGCGAATCACACATGTCAACGCGACGACACAAATTTCGCTCCGTAAGAACATGGGGCACCCACACATCGAGCTTCGAGGTTAAGCCCAGGCCTTTCAAGTGGCCATAAACAGTCGAATTTGACAAATTTAACCTCTCACCGATTTCTCGTGTGTTTATTCGCCCATTTGCATCAACTAATGCCTTTATCGCATCTTTGTCAGCTTCGACTGGCCTTCCAGACCGTGGTGCATCTTCGACATCAAAATTGCCGGATCGAAACTTTGCAAACCAGTTCTGGCACTGGTGTACTGTTGACACGCCTTCTCCATACACATCCATCAATTTTTTTCTCGCTTGGACAGCATTTTTACCTTTTCTGAAGTAAAAAAGTAAAATATGACGAAAATGCTGCTTATTGCTCTCCATATTTAAAAGGGCACCAACCAAACACTACTGCGTAGAATTAATAGAACTTTTTCACACACAAAGCCTTGTAATATCAGCTCTCAAGACATATAATGGTCATGCGGCTTAAGTGTGAAGTTGGTTTTGAAAAAATTTAATTAAGTCCTCTGACAGGAAACGAAATTACTTTCCGAACAACCCAATAATTTAAATGTGACTTTTAATTTAAATTAGAAAGATCCTTTAAAATATTTAAGTAGCTGATATATTTTTTCACTTTCCATTGAAATAATTTTCGTTTTATATAACACACTTAAGAATTAAATTAAATTTAAAAATTAATCTTTCATTCCTTATGAATGCTTATTTAACTAACTCCCTACTTTAAGTTTTTTATTTATTTATTTATTTAAAAAGGAGAATGAGGATTATGGAATTCAATAAACTTGTGCTTTCTTTTCTTATTTCCTTTTTAACGTATTAATTATTAATCATTACACATCATACAAAGATTTTAAACATATACTAAGGCATCATATTCATTATAATGTCTTAAATTTCTTTAAATTCAATTATTTAAAAATCATTTGATAAAAATGTAGTCTTACCTCTAGGGGAAAATATTATTGAATATTACTTGGAAATAAGAAACAAAATATATTCAATAATATTTAATATATAATTAAATATTATTGAATATATTTTGTTTCTTAGCATTTGTTTGGTATTTCCCCTCTATTATTCACTTAGAGTTTATTTCAGTTGTTTGATACTTGGAAGTTAGTTATTGAGGTCTTATCCACTAGTAACACAGGAATCCATTGAATTGTCTTTCATTTTCTCTAAACAGTTCAAGATTTCTTTATTATAAAAATGTATAAGTTTTATTATAATAATAAATATATGTAATCTATTAGTTTATTATAATAGTAAATATATGTAAGTATAAGATTTTATTAGATTTCAATTATATCATACAAATTTGTGTGATGCAAAATAATCTCACTTTGTATGACATAATTTTCACTGGTGTGGGGGAGGAAATTCTTTTTGTTTTCCCCTGTATTCCGTTTTTGTAACACCTTAGTAGTTCCTTGTACATTTACAACTTAGCGCGACAAATTAATCATAAAAGCCCACACATACTAGCTTAGGAAGGTTATATGACTAAATAACTCTTAGATAGTTAGCCTTAATCCTATGCTTTCAGTTTTAAAAATAAATTAAATAATGTAGGCCTTCTAATATGTAAAAATAAACATAACATCAATTTTTATACAAAATCAGCAAAGAATAAATATGATTGCAAAAAATTTTTCTATGGCCAAATTAGTCAAAATCTAATTCTCACATCATCAAAATTACTTGAGATATAAATAATTATGGCCCCAAATTATGCATTGTTGAAGGCAGCTATGCATGCTTAATCTTTCAGATACTAATTTCTAATAGAAAATATCAGTTTAGAAACATTAGTTTTAAATTAGCATTCATAGGAAGTGCTAAAATATTATATTTAATAAATTTATCCTCATACATCACCTAAAATGCATGATTTTTTCATCAAATAATTTAAATCATATAATTTTGGCTATTTTTCCAGGCCAGTTCTATAATTATAGACTTTCCCCCTAACCACATTTTTAATAGGATAGGGAACAGTTAACTGATCGGAACTTTCATCATAGAATTTTAAATTTGTTTATTTCTTCTATAGTTTAGAGTATTTTTATCAACTGTACTTCATTTATTTTTTAAGGTGAAAACTTGAGTCTATATCCAGTCTATTTAAAAGGTAATTTGTTTAGTAATGTAGCCTTTTTGACACGTCCCATTACATTGCATACTCATATTTATTTATCGATGCAGGTTCTTAAGTGAATACTTTTAATTTGTAAATATTTCTAGTTGATCAATATATTCTTCATAAAACCCTCTCTTACTATTTATTTTGTTTCTTGCTGTTGCAATTCATTTGTCAAAGGTTCTTTTCATTTTCTAGATCGCTGTTGGCTGTGGTGAATATACTGATAATTGTTTGACCAATAACAGTATCAGACTGGAATATTCCAAAGAACCTGGATCTGGTATAAACAATATTAGTTATAATTTCTTATATATAACGTCTGATATTTCTATGTCTTAATTTATATATTCCCATATCTTCTGTTTATATAAATGTAGGCAGATAATTTTTGGTGCTTTGCCACGACCTAAGTAATCATAATCCCATGTCTTAATTTTTTTTTCCAATAGGTATCTGGGAACTTGTCAATAAAGGTTGCTTTCCAAGTAACACAATACATTCAGAATGTGCTCCAAATGATTTCTATTCTCCTTCTATTTATTCAACAAATACTCATAAGCAGTGGACACTTGTTATGTTTTACCTTCCTGAAAAGACTTATTCAAGGTAACTTTATTAGTGCTCATTTAACCATCAATGTGCATGCATATATAAGTAGATTTGTTTTTTTTTTTTTACACATAAGTACAAAAATCTAATCAATTATATTAAATTAACAGTAAGTGCAAGATGTATTAATGGAATATTCCACTTCTTATATAATTTCTAAAACCTGCAGCATTTAAAAATCCTTGTGCCCTTTGTGTGTTTTTCCTGGCCTTCGTTGGAATGAGCCCAGAGACATGGGGAGTCATTGTCAAAAACTGATGTAAAATCGACTCGGTTTGATCTAATAAAAGCACTGGGTTCCGGAAGTTGGACCAGTCTTGTAGGAATTATAATTACCATACTAATTTAAGTAATTATCAGTTGAAGAATTATTTACGTAGTAATGTAGTTTGACCATTGTTTAATATCACAAGCCACTGAAAAAAAAAAAAAAAAAAAAAACACTGCTCAAGGAACAGCAATTTATACATCCTTCAGGTGAAGATTTTTATCTGGAAATGCTTTCCAAGGTTGTAAAATTTATATGTAATGAACTGTTGCCTTGTAGCTGCTAACATTTTTAGGTGTACATTGTTGGCCATTTGAATCCTTACACCGTGACAGAATCATACGTCAAATCTGATATTTGCATAAAAAGTAGAACATGCTGGGATATGCAAATCTTTAGTATTCCGCAGCCATGTGTTCATCGTATGAAAGAGTAAATAACACTACAAAGTAATTTAAAAAAGCTTATAAAAAATGTTTTTTCAATTTCATTATAGTTTTTATCATAAATCCCACATATTCTGTAGAGAAAGTTCTTAATCTGAAAGATACAAATACTAAATTAGGAGTTGTTATGCTGCATTATTAATGTCAAATCAAATCTTTTAAAAATGATTCTAAATCTGTTTTGAAAAGAGGAGAAAATGATTATATATATATATATGAATATATATGTGAATGAATTAATTATGCAAGATAATTTTCAGTACTACACAGTTTCGATGGATACAAGAAACTCCAACAAACATACCGAAACCTCGCAACATACCAGCGTGGGCTATCGATGATATATATATTGGAGAAGCTTGTCCCTTTTTGTGTCATGGGAAAGGAATTTGTGTTCAAGGAAAATGTCGGTGTTATCCTGGATTTACAGGTAAGCATTTTGAACCTATTGTAAGTGATTCCATGAATTTGTATTTGTTTGTTATTGCAATGTACGTCTGTGCCTTAAATGTTTCATTGATTTAAAAGTTTGATGCATAAATGTGCACTTTCAAAAATTTAGTTATATATGTGTGTAGTGATTCCAAACGTGTAGATGAAAACAGTGGAACTTTTAACAGCTTAGATACTGCGTAGACGATCGAGAAGACCGTAGTGGGTTGAAGGTGGCAGAGTGAAAAGCATGATGACGCAGTTTAGCACAACGTATCTTGAAAAATTACAATCTTTATTTTGTTACACATATCAAATCATCCTTTTTCAGACAAGATGTTTCCTAATTATATTTGAATACAGTAAGTTGCATTTTAAAGTACGACATTGTTTTAAGCAAGTAAGCGACAGCAGCATACATAAAAAGCATCTTGCCGGCAGGAGAACTTATGCAGAAAAAAGACAGAGTATCATAGAACTTCAGAGGAAGAAGGGTTGGAGTCGGAAAAGTTTCAATTCAGAGTTTTGGTTTACAATTAATTTGATTGGACAAGAGGCATCTGCATTAAAACATTACCTAAGATAGAAAAATCTGGAACCTGTGAGAAGAGATGAATTTAGGGGCAGATCACCAAATTTAGAATGTTAATTTTGAGGTTGCCAATTATTTTTTTAAAACAGCTGTCATATTTTGTTATATCTTACATATATATTAATTATTTAAATATAAATTTTAGTTAAAGTATTTATTAAAAAATTACATCATTTTTTATCTGAGATCTGTATTTTTTATCATCTTAAGTATCTGACATTACATAAATACACTCACGTTTGTGAAAATTGCAACACCAAGAAGGAATCGTCATAATTGAATGCAATTTAATACACAGTTGAGTGGTAGTGGTACAAATAAATGATTAAATGTTCAAAGCAAACAAACAAGAACAAGAGATCAGAATCAGTATTTTGTGTGGCCACCACGCGCCGCAATAAGTGCTGCTACACGACGTGGCATGGAGTCAAACAAAGTTTGAATGTCTGACTGAGGAAGAGCATTCCATATCGTTTGTACGCGTACCCAAAGTTCGTCTGCAGACACAACAGGACGAGGATCACGAGCAAGACGCCGACCAATGACGTCCCACACATGTTCAATTGGCGACATATCCGGGGAACACGCAGGCCAAGGAAGAAGCTGTACCTGCTGCGCTGCAAAGAAGGATTTAACAATCCGAGCAGTATGAGGGCGGGCATTGTCCTGTTGAAAATACAGCGCCTGGCAAGCTTTGAAGGAAGGGAACAGCTTCGGGCTGTAGAACTTCACCGGATATACCGGTTGCTGTTCAGATTGCCCACAATTCGTAGCAATTTGAGATCGTCTATGATATGCTATGGCCGGCCCCAGACCATAACTCCGGGTGTTCGTCCACTGTGGCGTTCGATAATGCACTCCGGAAGGTGACGTTCACCGGCACAGCGTCTGACACGAATGCAGCCATCATGGTACCACAAATTAAAGCGGGATTCGTCAGAAAACACGACATGCTGCCAATCAGCACGCCAGTCTCTATGCTGATTGGCCCATTGTAGCCGCAGGCGGCGATGGTCGTGCGTTAGGGGGATCCTGTATAAAGGAGTCCGTGCGCGCAGTCCACACTGCAGCAGACGTCTACGAATTGATGAAGCACACAATGAAACACCTGTAGCTATTGACCACAGTGCTGCCAATTGTCTAGAGGAAGCTGTACGGTCCGTCCGTGCCATGCGGACCAGGTGTCTATCATCACGAGCTGACGTCACATTTCGGGGTCCACTCCCGGATTTCCGAGTTGTCCGACACTCGTCCGTCCACTGCTTCCAAACGCGTATCACTGTGCTGCTGTTACGCTGCACACGAGAGGCTACTGCACGATACGACAATCCAGCTTCACGAAGGCCGATGATTCTCCCTCATTCAAACTCTGTAAGTTGTTCAAATCTTGCTCTCTTTCGTCGACGAGGCATAAGTACAGATTGAGTTAACGTTTACCACTAGCAGATAACCACCGATAACCATACACGCCTCGCTACAGCCGTCTATTTATTCGGATCCATCAGCCGTTCAGAGGGCGCAGCTCAGCATACGCATGCGCTACGGATTTGCAATTCTAATCATTTGCATATCATGCGCTACTTTGCATTTCCTGAAAATTTCAGCTCACTCGCGTAAGTCCTTCATGGTGTTGCAATTTTCACAAACGTGAGTGTATAAACTGACTTTGAGAAAGTTCTGATAGCTCAGTGGTTGAGCACTCACTTGTATCATAAAGATCTTTGGCTTAATTTGTTTCATGTATAGTTTCTTTCAGTTATGTCATATTGATTAGCAAATTATTAAGAACATTAAACACAATGCCAAGTGCATTTAAAGAGTGAGGCTAACTCGGAAATATCTCAGTTCTCCGAACTAATGCTGAACTAACAACTACAACTGAGAAACTGATGCTTTTCTCAGTCTTATCTAGTTTCTTCCTGGGCTACCAAGAGATTTCTAATACTTTCTGCTTCTTGATATTACTGGATGGTGTATGAGGGCTGGATATGGTTACAGTTGCATAGATCAAATACAGTTATTCACTTATGATACCCATTACAGTTATACAGGGACCAGACCAAAATGTTGCCAAATGATATCCAAGTTTTGCAACTTTTTCGATTTCTCACCAAATTTCGCAATAAACATTAGTCTCTAAACCTACTCCCAGCTTGGCGATATCTCCCCAATTTAGCGAAATAGCAATTTACTCAATGTTAAATAAACTTGACCCTGTATTCTTATTTTTCCAGCAGAGCATCATCTCTTTAGATTTTTCACATTACATTATACAGAAAAAATACAACTTCATGTATAACTTCACTAAAATTATCTACGTATGTACAAGATTCATAATAATATGTAGAAATTGAGATTAGTTTCTTTATATATGCATCTCTACACCAGTAAATAAGGCAAAATTTTTAAAAACAAGCTTTAAAATGATAAATTGTATGTATATTAAAAATTAGTATTGTAAATTCTATAAAATGTTTATTGTCATGTTGCTATTATGGCTTATCTCACTTGTCTGGCAGTAACATCAGAACAAGCCCACGAAATTCAATGTGGCAAGGAGAGCAAGATTGCATCTGTTGTTGGCCAGAGCCTTGAACGCCATACAGATGACAGTACAACTTCGCTCTCAATTCCACCCCAATTTTGATGGAGAACACCCCAGGGGGGAAGTGTCTGAATGTTTCCCACCCCCTACCAGCAGCCTCTCAAGAAGACTTCCGGCTCGCCATGTATTTAGAGTGACCCTGTGTCGCAAAGACACTATACATTTACAAACATTCATGCCTTCTCCAGGATTCAAACTCTGGCTCTTCAGTATCACAGTAGGCTTCCTTAATGGTAGTCTGGGTGGCTAAAATATTTATTGAATTGGTATACCAAAATGAGTGTTTTGAAGCAAAATTTCAATTAATTTTATTAGTTTTTATAATGTTGCTGAAACTCTGAATAATTTTATTCCTCATAATATATTAATACATATTTTAGATTGCACTAAAAGTAATATTGCTAATCTTTGCCATATCAATGTTAATATTGGAAGTATCTATTTCTCTAATAGACTTACTTTTCTGCAACCAAAAATGAATTTTTAATAATATTTTTAATTTTCATGAAATAGGAGTACAGTAACTGTACAATATGGGAAATAAAACGATTGCATACATACCTATCATTTTAATTATTGGCATGGTTATTACTTAGTGTTAAATCATTCTCTTCCTCCCAAAATAGTATTTTAAGTAATATTTTTTATGTTATATTTGTGAGACATATGAATAGATCAAATTACTATTTTCTAACATTTAAATTAATCATCATATTTTTAGTTGTGCAGATTTAATATTAATCATTTATTATATTCAGGTTGTTATTGACATATCACTATTTAAATTCTTTCTCATTTTCAGGAGATGATTGTAAACCAGAACCAAGTCTCAGAACTGCTCGTATACTACCTACAATGTTTTTAGATTCTTTCGAAAATGGGTTATCAGCTGATTTATGGGAATTAGCTAAAGGTGGATGGATTGGCCAAGAATGTGGCTCATTAGCTCCACATGGTGGTGGAAAGCATTTATACATGGGGGAGTGTGGTGTGCGAGAAATAGTAACTAAAGAACTTGATGCTTCTGCAGCAAGGTAGCTATGTCTGTGTTGATTCAAAATCATTCTAGTGTGTAACTTATGTAAAACAAAATTGTCATCCAAAGATATTATGGCAACAAAAGATGTTAGTAGTGTAATTCTGTTACCGTGCAAAGTGTATTTGTAACAGAAAGCAGAACAGAATTTGTATTGAGAATTAAACATACCTATTAATATATCTTTTAAACTGAAATATTTAGCATTAATATCAAATTACAAAAGAAGAAGTCAAAGTTTAAATACTCAATGGACTTTTCAAATCTATTGTGTACTTAAAAAGGGTCTTAGAAAGGGTAAGGGTATAAAGGATATTGTGCCTTATAAAGGTTGTGATCACTACATATCCAAATCATCAAAACTGAGATCTAATAGTTGATGTATATTATATATGAACTAGAGATAGCCCTGGAGTTCCTTATCATAAGAAAATAAACCAATCAAACCTAAATTTCTGTATGGCCATAATTTATAGTTAATATAGAAAAACATTTCAGTTTTATCTGCCTTATTAAGTTTGTCTTTGTGGTGAATTTTCTTTGTGAGATTTGGGTCATAATAATATTACACACAGACAAAATCTGGAAAAGAGAAAAAAAATATAAAAGTCAAATGGATTCTGTGATGCACTAATGCATTCAGAGGCCAAAAATCAAATGTATTTTATATTCACTTTTAAGTCTTCTCCAAGTTTAAAAGTGGTTTCAAACCTGGTGTTGTGGGTCATTTTTCTATAAACATTTATATGAATAACACTGAAAGGATTTCAGAGCAACTTGCAATCAGCCCATGCTTTTTTTGATTTCACATGCAAAATATGTTGTTCTTTATGTAATTGATCAAAATTGAGATGAATGTGAAGCAGATAGCCCTCATCTACTTTGCGTAAAATTAATAATGCAGTTTATTCTTAACCAAACGAAGAGTGACTGTTGAAAAATGATTCGTTCCTGTATTTGATTGTTAGCCCAAAAGGGCTATTAGTCTCAGAACGACATTTTGTGGTGAATCACTTTAAATGTCCGAAACATTTTCCAAACTCTTGCCACCAAATATTATCGTCTTTTTTTATATTTTAAGAAACTAAATAATGAAGAACCTATATGAATGTATGTATGTTTCTTGTATTGAAAAAGAACCACAATACGTAGAGTCATCAAATTTTGAATAGCATATTCCTCCACTCCAACATGGGCACCTGAAAGCCCAAATTAGGAATTTCAAATTTGTTTTACTGTCTATTTTATGTTTTGCAAAACTCTAACAAATCTTTGATTAAAAAACTCGACAATTTCAAAGCGAGCAGTGGCAACACAGTAGGGAATAAAACACTTTTGCACACTAACTCCAGATTGCGAGACTGTCTATCAGAAATTCTAAAGATATGCTGTTTTTAAATATTTTTAGCACAATGTGGCATTAGCCCAAATGCTCTCGAAACGAATATGTGTCTGTAAATGAAAAAATCTGATGTGTACACCACATGACTTTCTTGTACGGAATATTAAATTACACTCATTTTTTCTTGCATTTCATTTAAACTTATTGGGTTGAATTAAATCTACTTCGCTGATACCACATAAACCACAATAGAATAAATGCACTCTTTAAAATTCACTTAGTGGCGCTCTGGCCCTAGGTTCACTTAACAGCGTTACATTTAATTCATTTTTTAACTCAGAATGCACAAAATTTATATCATCTTACGAATTATCTAATCGTTGCCACATGTTCGATTCAAATACTATAATTAATCCAAAACGTTGTATAAAAGAAATTAAGCAAAAAACAACAACAACAACAAAAGAAACAGTTTTCACAGATGATTTAGTTTTTACTTCGCGACAAGGCAAAATATGTTGTTCTTTATTTAAAAACTCAAAATATCTGTATTGAAAATTATGTTATAAATCTTAAACATATTGAAAATTATGTTAATTATGTTATAAATCGTCGAATAAATTTCAGAATGGATAAGGCGTGATTTAATTCGCAATAATAAAAGGCAGCATTATTTGTGTTATTGCAAAGCTTACCTTCTCTAGATTGGCAAAAAATCTACTATTCTGCTGTTTTAAATGTAAACAAACATGGCCGGTATGGCAAAAATAATTAGGGTTAACGGCACTTAAACAACTTTTAAATTGTTGATAATTGTAAAAATATTGCATGCAGAGTTTTACTAAAGGCATAAAAACCTTAACCAGGAAATAAGAACAGCATAATTCAATGATTTTTAAAGCAAAAAATGCACGATTTAGAAACATATAAGAATAAAGAAACTGAGATTACTGAGCCAAATAACTGAGTGGATATATATAAAAATTTATATAGTTTTGGTGCAGCCCATTGCAACCAAAATACGAGATGCACATCTACATGTTATTTCAATGTTCTGAGGCGACTCATTTTTGATTTATGCGAGATACGTATGTACGTACATACGTTCGTACAGACGTCACGAAAAATTCTCTTCAGAATTCATTTCAAAGCAGTTTTATAATTTTTTGGGGTTAAAAGAGTCCTTTATTCTGTGCTTACGTACAGGTGTCACGCAAAAATATCACTGAATTGCATTCGATAGTGGTCCAAATGCATATTTTTGTTGAAATATGATACCTGAAATTTTTCGAGATTACAATACTTCCTTTTTGCTTCAATCAAGGAAGTAAAAAACGACCATTTGAGCATAATATAGGATCTGAAATTTGGTCTAATATAAGATCAGATTTTTTTTTTTATATAATGTTTTCAATGGTTGTATATAATCTAAATTAACACTTGGGTCATGTCGTTCTTGAGGGTATTTTTTCCAATATGAAAAATTAACAGGATTCTACATATATGTATCACTAGTTAATTATGCAACAAACATGCCACTCAGGGAGACTCTTGCATAGAGACCCGCTAGAAAGGTGATTTTTTGTTTTTATATATAAGGAACAATGCATTGTAATTAACTCTATTCAAACTATTTAAGCTCAACTGATTTTGAAGAGCAAAAAAATTTGGCTGATCATTTATATAGAAAGTTACCATGAATACATTGTTTAAATAACAAAAACTATGCAAATAATAAAATTTCAGAAGAACAGCCATAATAAATGCTGTTTCTTTAATTGAAATAAGAGATTTTTTCATCTACCCAGAATGCAAAAAATTACAATTAGGATGTTTTTATTAATAATTATTATTATTATTTATGAAGAAATGTCTATAGTTGCATGCAACTGATAAACTTGAAAGCTAAAGCCCAAATAGAATTTTATATTCACATTTAAGACTTTTCCAAGTTAAAAAGTGGTTTCAAATTACTACATGTAATACTATTTTAATGTAATAATGTTTCAAATTATTACATTAAATTTAATTTAATGTAGTTATATGAAATATGAGTAATGTTCATTGTACTATTCTGTAGCAAACTGATGTTTGTTTTGCGTATTGGAAGTGAAGAAGGTTTTTCTCAGTGCCATGTCAATTTATTACATGCTTCAGCTTCAGACAAATCTGTTGTGCTACAATACAGCATAGATGATGGCATATCTTGGGAATTTATTGCCCTTCATTCAGCAAGAGATTTTAAGCAGGTAAATATCGTAAATATTAGCTAGCTTTTATGTAATGCAAAAATAATAATGATCCTTATACTAGCTTAGTAAGTTTTTATCATCTTTGAAAATATGTCAATATACCAAGATAATTGATTAACATTTATTTTTATAAACAATAAAATATTTATAATTATTATATTGGTTATTTAATCCTCTGTCTATAGTGCAATATGTAATAAAATAAATGCTTAAATTAAATTTATTTTGTGTATTAAGTTTAGAAAGAATTATTTGTTTCTTGAAGTAGACGTTTGTGTTTTATTCTCTCAAAATGCATACTCATCTGAACTGCATTTTTTTTAATTAAGGCTGATTTTGCCTAATTTGAAATTTATATTTATTTCCTTTGCAAATGTTCATTAACAATAAATATTTAACTTTTTTATTCCTTCCCTCACTTAGTAAAAGTGAAGATGGATATTTTATCCTTTTATATAAATATCTAAATACACTTTTATGAAGTTTTTCATTTTTTATGACATATAATCCTGAAATTCTTATTAATAGCTATTCATACAGGCTGAAGGATATTCCCGTAACATCAGTTTATTACAAGTGCCAGATTTATGCCACATTTTCAATTCTAGATGTATATAACCATTAAATAAAATATTTCATTATTAATTTTTTTCATAACAGCCAAGGCGTTTAGTATATGAAATACCAGAAAGGGCGAAGATATATGGAGTTCGTTTTCGGTGGTGGCAACCTTTCCATGAAGGTAGAGGGTATGATCAGTGGGCATTAGATAATGTTGAAATTGTCAGGTATGATATTTTTTAATTATTTGTGTTGCTTTGACTCTACATTTGAGGATTGTTTTGATACTTTTACACATCATTTTCATAGATACTAATAATTATACAATGAAACTTCTCATGGTAACTGTGTCATAGAGAACACAGAAGTGACTTGTGGTTCTTTTGTGACCATAAATAAACTCTAATATTGAATATTTTATAATAAGTAATTATATTAGGGAGTCACTGTCTTTGTGTTATATGTTTCAAAAATTTTCATAAGTTTTATTTTCCATCACCAAAAATATAAAATTAAACTAATAAAAGGCCCACCAATGGTCAGATGCTAAAAACTATTATTCATCTCAAATTTCTCCCAAATGGGGGACCCAGATTCACTGTGTTTTTGTTATTTTCTTTTTGTATGACGAAAATCTCAGGTTATAAATGTTACTTTACAAGATCCAGATTCAGTGTGTAAGTCATTTTGTTGTTTTCTTATTGTATGACGAAAATGTCAGGTTATAAATGTCACTTTATAAGATCCATTACATAATACTTTCTTTGTAAAGATAGTCATTTTATGTTTCTTTAACTAACCTGTCACAAATATGCAAATTTGTTAAAAGTTTTTAATGTATCATATTAGCTCACTTCACACTTTTCAAGTCACTCTAATTTCAGATTAGCCTAGAAATTTATATTTTAATGCTCAGTCTGCAAAACGTAGACAATTTTCTGGTTTAAATAAATAAGCAAAAGAAATTATTTACTGTCTAGCTTTTTTTAGATCCAACTTAAGACCTGAAAGTCGATACAAACTTGTATTTTTCCACATGAATCATGCAATCAGAAAATAGAAATTTATTTATTTTCTGAGAAATATTAACTCATAGAACAGTGTATAATATATATATTAAAATTAAAGTAAAATAAAAAGATTATAACTTGTAGGTGTGCAATATTCCTTTTATTAGTATTATAGTAATAATACTAGTTATTATTGCATGTTGGTTTGGCAATTCATTTCATCTATTTTACATTAATAGCTGTCTTTAATATAAATATTCCACAGTTGTAAAATTTAATTGGATTCAGTGATAGACTTATTGTTCTATACATCATATCTCATTAAATAAACAGTATTTAATTTTGACAACTTTTTTCAAGGCCAACTTTAATTGAATCTAAATTTAGCATCTTTATTTTCAGGATATACTACACATATATATGGAATAAATAAAATATAATGTATGATGAAGTATTTCAATTTATGAATAAAATATATATATAAATATTGTAAGTTACAATAAAAATGAGAAAAAAAAATTCATCTATACATTCATTGCACCTAATTTCAGCAAAAGTTTTTCAAAGCTATTTAGTAATTATCTGAATCAGTGAAGAATTAACTCTGTCTCTTTTAGTTGAATTAATATTCGGAGTAATCAGTCAATATAATAATCTGCTTACATGCTGTTGTGAAATTTATTTTGAATTCTATCACATGTGAAGACAAAATGTAAATCTAAAGAGCACACTTGGATTACTGAGGAAATGCGTGAACTGGGGGGAGGGAATCTTGAAAGATTTAATAAATATATAATAGATTTAAAAAACACAAAATGCTTACTTATATTGCATGCAACCATAATGTTTATATTTATATACTTTATTATATTTGGATGTTAGATACATATGTTTTTTTAAATAAGTTTCAAAGTTTTTAACCTTAAACATATGATATGAAAAATTTAACTGATAATTTTGTAATAGAAGTATGCTGCGTTTCTTGTATCTTAATTAGCTAGGTGAAAATCAGATAATTTTCATGTAATAATCTCTTCAAATTTAATTTTCTTTTCTTTTCATTTTCTTAAAAGATAATAGAATTTTAAGTTTCAGTAAATGATTCTAATGGATTGATATGGGGAGTGAAATCTTCCTGTGGCAACCACTTATAGTTCCACCCAATTTTGGTCTTACAAGAAAGTGGTGGCCTTAGAAAACATATTTTCTTGTTCATTATCTTTTCATAAATATTGATCACTTTCAAATGTAATCAATCTGTCAAGAATGGCTAGAGAAATAAATAAATAATGTAATAGTAATTAAGACATTAGATGATTAATAATTTTAAATAAAAATATAAGGAGATTTATAAAATGATGATAATTAGAGAAAAATGATGAATTCTAAAAAAATGAAAAGTGACTAAATTTAATGATAACAGGGCATACATCAATTAGGATAAAAAAAGTTTTTTTTTTAACAATATTCTTCATCGTTTAATAAAACTGATTCCTTATTGTAGTTTCTTGTTCATTTCATACTAGATAGACTTCATGCTAGATAGGCAGAATCTGTAAATATTCCTCTGCTTAAAGAAAGAGGAAAACAAAATAGAATATTTGTTTCTCAGGTGCATAAATTCAATATTTACTGTCAGTGTCAGTTTTATTAATTGCTGAACAAATCTTGCATTGGTAACAGCATTTTTTAATTATATTGTGAGTGAGTTTTACATCAAAGCACTTGAGCTTTTTTACTTGGGAATCCAGCTTGAATAATAATTTCACTCAAAAAGTATAAAGTGCAGAGCTGGCTTTACGGAAATCCTAAAAGCAACTAGAGTGATTTCAATGACTTATGTGACAAAAAGATAAATTTTTCTTATCCTGTGGTTAATAAATGTTTTGTATTACCATAAATATGTTATCATAAATAAAGATATAAAGCTTCATAAAGCATTCTTCTACATATGCATTAGCTTTATTGTTAACTATTGTATTACTTACTGCTTATTTGGCCAGTGTTTTGAACAATAATACAATAGCGTCGACTATCACATGCTGCTTGTTTAGCCAGTGTGCTATTTGTGACCAGTGGTACTCAGAACTTAAATAAGCAATGATATAATATTTATTGATAGTCTGTGATGGACATCTTCACAGAACACTGCAATAATCTGGAGCCATGGATAGCTGAGTAGTTTCAAAAAATTTTTATACATTTTAGAAACAAATTTAATTAATAAAATTTATTTAAACTACAGTAATGCTATAAGTGATTGCTGCATACTTTTTTTTTTTTTTTTTTTTTTTGGAGGGGGATAATTTTCCCCCATGAAAATGAACAGATTATACACTTTTCTTTGATTGAATCTGTGCAAAGGTTTCTATTTTGTAGTTAATCATTTTCTAAAGATTATATGTAGAAGTTAATAAAGATTTATGTCTAATTTTATTTTTATTTTCATGTCACAAAATACATATAGAAGCTGGGGCACTTTAGTTAATTCCAAATAATTGAATTTCTTAAGTAATTCTTAAGTCTTTTCTAAAAAGCAGAGGGAAAAAATTTATCAAATGCGTATATAAAGATATGTATATATACAAATTATGTGTATATAAAGATAACTCATGACTGCATTGTTAAGTCAGAATCTATTATGGAATTATATCTCAAAATTACTAATTAAATTTGTATTAAAAAACAAAACACTAGCATTAATTTTTTACACATTTTCAAAATTCTTTATAATTTTAAAATTTCTAATTACTTATATTTTTATTTATCTATTTATTTATTTTATATTTAAATTTTAAACTATATAAGATATTAAAAATGTGTATATCATTTCTTCTGTAATCTGCAAGAAATGCTGATTTATGTTCATATTTAGAGGTGATTCTTAGTTACTAGGTAATTTCTGCCGGGTTTTAAGGTTATAGTGATAAAATTTCAAGTTGTATGGTAAATACAGTGTCAGTATTTTATGAAGCATTTATATTTGATATTTAATTTACTATAACCCTGCAATCTAAAATCTATTATTAAACTTTAAAAAAATTAACTTCAAAGTAATTTTCTAATTAGAATTATAATGTGGAAGCTATGCTCAGTCTTAAACATTCAATTTTGAAGTGCACGGACTACATTTTAAACTTTTAACTGTAACCTTTCCAAGTTCTTTGAGTGTGGGCGTAATATATCCAACCACCAGCCAAATTTTATTAATAACTAACTAAGCAGTGTTTAAAAACAAGCATCTACAGTAGTTGCTTCTAAAGTTTTCTATGAGCATTAAGATAATAAAGACATTGAAAGAGAGTTTGAAACAAAGAAAAGGATTTAGGCCATTGTAGCAAAAAAGAGGAAAAAATCTGTATGTAGTTGATCCACCATCTCAAGTATTCAGTATCAAGCAATTTAGAGGCAAGAAGCTTTGGAGATAATATGAATGAATCAGATTTGATTGAACAGCTTAGCCCTTTCCGTCACGCTACCTTTTAAAGTTGCAGGTTTGATTTAAAAAAAAAATTTAAAAAAAGGTAGGCAGTCTAATTAGGCCTAGAGGAGTACACGAGTAAAATTTTGTGAAGATAGCACATATCGTTTTCTGTGGGTGTGCCCAGAGTGACACACTGATTCAGTGGCGTAGCTAGGATTCCTGCGCCCCTTTCTGTGTGCCATCAATGGAAAACATTTCATTAAAAAATTTCGTAGCATCAATTTGGTGCCACCTGGATGCTGCGCCCATGGACAGATGTGCCCCCTTGCCCCACCCTAGCAATGCCAATGCACTGATTGAATAGAGCTTCGAAAAGAGTGGTGAAATGAGCATTGTTGTAAATGAACTGACCGATGAGATGCGGAGAAACAAAGAATACAGACTCTCAGTTGTCCTAGATTATCGGTGAGCCCGTTCTGGGCACACCTAGAGTTCGTCGTTTGATTTTAGGCAAGATTTCAAGGTAAAATTTTAAAACTAATATAGAATAAGGAAATTAGCATACAGCCAAAAAATAATGTAGAAATTTCTTTTCAAACAATTCCTTTTATACCCTAAAAAATTCTGGAAGGTTTCTTTGAAAAATGAGGGTCTTAAAAAACTAAACATGGCTAAAATATATGGCCTGGTTTGTGTTGAGCTGCCATCTAATATAAATAAAGAAGATTCAGAGTAACCTATAGTAACCTATAAATCCTTTTTCATTCAATTTTTTTGTGCGTACAGAAGGAAA